AGCCTAGACATGGGAGTGGAGGGTTAGGTTCAATGTGCTGTTTTGTGAGACTGATTCTTTGATTCTTGCTCTTTGCCATGAGTCTCTGAGAACAATAACACAGTGTCTACTTTGTGTCATTGTCCTTGTTGCTGACATACAGGGATGAATAAGACATAGTTGGAACTTACAATGTTTTACTGACTAGGCTAAGTAGGCATGAGCTAGTTCTGTGGAATGGCAATCACTAAATATAAAACTAACCTTACACTAAGCTGCCAGCCTTCCAGTTTAGGATTATGTCCACAGTGGATACTTAGTAAGAGTCTGTGAGTTGATTTGAGCCCAGGGAGCAGACTGTGGTCTAAGTGGCAGGTGGATGCTCCAGTGGGATTGGTTAGGACTTTATCATCCTATAAGGTAGGGTGGAGCTTAGTTTACATGGATGAAATACTTTTGGGGTTTTTTTTTTTGTTTTGTTTTGTTTTGTTTTGAGACAGGGTGTTGCTATGGAGCCCAGGATAGCCTCCAACTCACAGTGATCCTACTGCCTCAGCCTCCCAAGTGCTACTAGGATTACATCTATATGCCACCATGCCTAGCTCAGATGAAATGCTTTGAAAATGAATGTTCTGCCCATTTGTCTATTCACAACTTTGCTTTTTTGTTGTTGTTGTTGCTTTTTTGAGACAAGGTCTCACTATGTAGTTGAGACTGACCTGGAACTCACTAGGTAGCCCAGACTCACAGGATCCTCCTGCCTCAGCCTCCTGAGTGCTGGGATTACAGGCATGCACCACCACACCTGGCTGCCACACCTTTGCTATTAAAGGTGTCAACATCATCTCCCATACTCCCAGGTCAGCAATTTTCTAGTTTCTAAATTAAGTGATAGAAGAAGGGAAGCCAGAATTAGGCATACATCAACATTTTGAGAGGTGGGGCTGCATTGATTAGGGTGCTGCTCCTCCCCTGAAGGCAACTTTTGGCGGGGTACCAGGGATGAACTCAGGACCTTGTGGCACCACAGAGCTAAACCCTCGTTCCTTCCCTGAGGGCAACTCTTAATTCCAGTGGAGTTTGATTTTAAGATCTAGACAGGAAGTCCAAAGAATGGTCCTTTAAAGTACTGAGACCTCATTTATGAAGAAAAAAAAAAAGTAGAGACAGACTTTTTTTTGAGGGAGACTTTTTGTTTGTTTCTAGGGATTGAATTTAAGACCTTGCACTTGGGAGGCAGGCGTGGTGTCACTGAGCTAAATCCCTGGCCCAGACTTTTTTGGGGGGTACTGGGGATTGAACTCTGGACCTTGCACTTGCAAGCCCAGATTGTATAAAGTGAATGCCTCCTAGAGAGTATACCACAGAAAGAGGAAAGTAAGCCAGGTATGGTAGTGCAGGCTTGCAATCAAAGTATTTGGGAGGCTGAAGCAGGAGCATCACCAGGAGTTCATTGCCAGCCTGGGCTACCTAGTGAGTTCAAGGCCAGTTGAACTATTAAGTGAGACCCTGTCTCAAAAAAAATAAACAATAACAACAATAACAAAGGAGGTAGGTAGAAGAGGGAGCAGGAAAAGTAACTTTACCATGGAGTGATCTAATATATTACATCAGTCTGTGGTTGAGGTCAACATCGACAGTGCTGAGTCATGTTGCTTTACTGTGTGCTCTTTTTTTTGTTTTTTTGGTACTGGGGATCAAACTCTGGCCCTTGTGCTTGCAAGGCAGGTGGCAAAACCACTGAGATAAATCCCCAGCCCTTGTGTGCTCTTGATATGTGACGAAAATGGCATTTTTACCTGTATGATCTTTACTCTAAAAAATCTATAACTTTAGTCTTTTTAAAAACTTTTTAGTCTTTTTTTTATTACTTGTCATGTAGAGGTACAAGATCCCAACAATGAATGTAACTGTACTGTATCCCTAAAATGTACCAATAAACTCAATTAAAGCTGAAAAAAAAAGTTTTTATTAGTTTATGTTTGCAGTACATAATAATTTCATTCATCGTGAGGAGTTGGTATATGTACATAATCCCGGCTTTGTAAAAAAAAATCTCAAATCCAAACTGATGGACTACAAAATATCTGGCCAATATTTCTCATGATTATCAAGGTCATCAAAAACAAGAAGAGTTAGGGAGGGGCCAGACATGGTGGCACATGCCTGTAATCCCAGCACTTGGGAGGCTGAGGCTGGAAGGTCTGTCACTGTGAGTTTGAGGCCAGCCTGCACTACAAAGCTAGACCCCCACCACTCCCTAAAAAAAGAGTTAAAGAAGCATAGAAGCATAGGTAAGAAAGAAAGAAGTGGGGGGAGGGAGAAGGAGAGAGAGAGAGAGAGAGAAAGGAAGAGGGAGGGAGGGAGAGAGAGAGAGAGAGAGAGAGACACACACACACACACACACACACACACACACACACACACACACAGAATTAAATGTAGTCTGGTAGCTTGGACAGAATCCTGGATTAGAAAAAAGGACACTGGTTAAAAACGAAGGGAACTTGAATAAAACATTAACTTCAATTAAAAGTAAAATATTGCCAAGCATGTTGGTGCATTTATGCAATCCCAGCACTCTGGGAAGCTGAAGCAGGAGGATCATGAGTTTGAGGCCAACCTGGCAATTTAGGGGACCCCTATCTAAAAAACAAAACTAAATAAAAAAGTAAGCCAAAATAAAAACTTGGTATCCAGATTGTAACTAACCTAATTAATTTTGTGGTCCTGGGTATTGAATTGAAGGCAGGGCCTCACACCAAGTTATGTTCCCAGCCCCCCCACCTTTGAGACAAGGTCTCTTGTTATGTAGTTCAGACTGCCCTAGAACTCACTATGTACCCTAGGCAGGTCTCAAACTCACAGCAATTCTCCTGCCTCAGCTGTGCACTACCACACCTAGCTCACACAGCCCTTTTTAATTTTTTATTTCAAGATTGGGTCTTAATAAATAGTAAAGCTGCCCAGGCTAGGCTCAGATTTGGGATTCTCCTTCCTTAGCCTCACAGAGTTTTGGGATTACAAGCGTGTACCTTCCTGCCTTTTATTTCCTTAAAATTTCCATTTATGGGTCATTTACCATGTTCCAGTCACTCTACTAGATGATCTCATTTAATCATTACAATTGCTTGTTAGGTATAATTAACCTGCTTTTACAGAAGCTGATGAATCAGGAAGAAGTAAATGTACTGTGTTGCTAGAGTTGGAACCAACATCTTTCTCATCCCCCCCATTGAACGTAATGTAATGTTCACAGTATCTTGGCTTTACTAGGATAAAGTTTAGGGTTTAGGCAGTTATAAGACATGTATTCCTGAGAGAAAAAGTCTCCTAAATCATGGAGGGTGAATATTGTCTCCACATCTCACTTCAGTCAGGGTTATCGCAAAAGTTGCTCAGAGAGGTTGGACTCAGGCTGGAACGACTATAGGAAGTCAAAGTCTAACCATTGTACCTTATTTCACAAAAGAGTAAACTGAGGTGTAGCCAGACCAGTAGCCCCAAATCATACTGACAAAAGCCAGGAATCCAGGCTGTCTGTAATTGTGTGTGTGTGTGGTACTTTTCTTGTGTGGCCTTCACACGGAGCTACCTTCTCAGCCCGTTTTATTTTCTGAGAGTCTTGCCATATCGCTCAATTGCCCAAATTGGTCTCGAATTTGCTATGGAGTGCTGGGATTACAGGCGTGTCCCACCGGGCTGAGTTGGTAATTATTTCTTACTCTTTCTTCCTAACTTCCTCTTCGTAGCTAACTAAGGTGGGAAATAAGGGCTGGCCTATCTGCCTTCAATTCCTCCTTTGGGAAACTGTCCCCTCCCCGCCGTGGGTGACTTGCCCAGGGACTCCTAGGCCAGAGACCAGGGTCTGCACAGAGATGCTCCAACACATTCTCAGCCCCGCCCCCCTTCTTGGGAACAAGACTCTAGCTTTGTAGTGCAGCCTGGCTTTAAACTCACTATGTAGTCCGGTTTGGCCTCGAACTTGCAGCGATCCTCGCGCTTCAGTCTCCCAAGTGCTGGGGTTACAAGGATGAGCTACCATTCCCGGCTCAGCATCTCTTAATCAAACACCTCCTACGTGGACTGCAGGCTGGGTGTCACAGGGAGGGGCCACGTAAAGGACTAAGAGCTCGCCCGAGGGTAGCGGCGGGGCGTTAGTCGAGAGCTCTAGGACGTGAGTTCTCTTCCGGGGCACGCCTCTGAAGTCGCGGCGTCAAACCAAGACTTCCTTCAACCCGGGGCCAAACTACCCCCAGCAGCCCGCCCTCTGTCCCCCACAGCCGCTTGGCCCTTTAAGGGTGGAGGACACGCGCCGGCGTCACAAAGCGCCGCCAACGCGCCGGCTGGCCGGGAGGAGGCGGGGAAGTGGGAGGAGGAGAAGGGCGGGGCGGG